ACCATTTTCTCATTTTCAAGGTAGACTGAAAGCAGCTGTTTGCCTCTAGCAAAGTAAAATATTAAAATAATTTGTCCTTTCAAACTAAAAGAAATGTTCAATAATAACGTAAATCTTTCCTGCTTTCAGTAACTGGACAGAAACCTACTCTTTCTCCATTGTCTTTTCTAGTTATCACTCTGACATAAAGCAGTCCCAAAACTCATGATAAGCCTCAACATGTTTCTGGAAAGACTGACCCAGAGTATTCACTCATCTACTCAACAGCAGGTAATCACGTGAAATTTTTATACCGTTGGCCTTGAGTGGAAATTACAAATGCCAACGACTCTTAGCTTTAAAAATGCTGTTCTCTCTATAGAGATGGTAAATGTTTGTATACTGACAAGTTTTTACTCTTCCGTGCCTCTTTAACATTGTGTTAAAGCTTTTATGTACACTTTCAGAAGCATCCATTCTGACGGACTAGGCTAACAAGTCAGGATGGCTGACTGTAGGGCATAGTCCACTGCATTTCTGGTGATAAAACATTTCATGATAGTGTTACTCTTTGAACACTACGAAATAGGACAATCCTTATAATGCAGCCTCAACATTTGACTATTATCAGACATACCTTTTTCAGCTCTATGCCACTATTGCCTTACTCTGTGTACAGTCTAGTGTGCCATTTTTGTCCACGTATGAAATAGTGAACTATGGAGAAAACTAAGCAAAAGATAATGCCTGTAATTGCTCTGGGTGCACTGCAGAGGTGGGCTTCATTCTTGTTTGGTCAGGAAGTCAGAAGAATCTCCATCTATAACAGGCAGGATTACCTGCGTGACATTCTACTCTGGCAAGTTTTGAGACAAATTAACTGAGACAAATGTTACTGTCCCGCTCATTAAAAAAGAGGTATTTAAGCACTTCTGTCTTTTCCAGCAATGCTATTCACTTGTATGCCAAGCGCTTTAGAAACAGCAATCACACATCATGGGCATCACATGCAGTGTGTGTCCTTACAAAACCTTCTTTTATATCCCACTTCTCAAACGAGAAAGCTGTATCAGTGAAATGCCTGGTGTCAGAAAACTAAATAATAATCAAGTTCCATCTGTCTGCATGAGATAATTCAAGAGGCTACAAATATATGACAGCTCCATGACTAACACCTTCAAAAGACTACTGTGGTGGAAATGGCTTTCATTTAAATTCTGGGCCCTATTTTATTTTTTTTTTTCCCAGTTGCATAGTTTCCTATAACTGGTTCCACTAACAGAGCTCACAGATTTTTTAGGCAATGATTTTCAAAGCGATCAATCATTGTTAAAAACATAATGGGAGGTTAATAAGCTTTTATACCCGGAAGGTGTTAGTATCACTAGAGTCGGTTTTTTTGTCTAAACAATTTTACAACACTGAATACTTACATTAGTGCTGAGTTTTCTTTTTTTGATATATTTTAAGTATGTGGTATATTTTGACAGTAGCAAAACATCAGAAATGTATGCAAAACTCATAAGCCCTTTACAAAAGCAGAAGCTAGGTATGTTGACTAAACAACCCATTTGATGCTATTTGTTTGCCTCTGATGTTATGAATTATTATTAGTGTATTAAGACTTAAAGTATTCCAAAGTACTGAACAACCTTCAGAGGTGGTGCAAAGCTGCATCTTGAGGTTTGATTTTTTTGCTTGCTTTTTTTTTCAGTTAATCAGATGAACAGAAGTAAATGATGGATTATTTATTGAAAACTCACCCATATATAAGCAAAATTTGGGGATAATTAATAAAATCATATATTTAGGATACTTCTTTTCCACAACTGATTTTATACCAAATTTACCTTGATAGTTTCACATTAAGAAATTAAGATCCTTTAGCACTCACAACAGGCACACACTACGTGGTATACAATAGCTGTAGGTTTTGGACATGTCATATAACAGAAAAATGATATGAATGAAAAGTTAAAAGGAAAAAAAGCCCCAAACTAACAAAGATGAATCAATTCCAACAATTGAAAACCATACGGATAAAAATGAGGGTGTGTGGGGGCCAATCCTGCACTTGTACAAAATAGTTTCAAATTACTATTATGTGAAAAAAGCAAAACAAGTATTCAAACTGTAGATTTCAACTGTCATTGATTTTATGGCCAACAGGACTCGGTGCAATCACCCAGTCTGATTTTTTCCGCAGACCAAGTATTTCCTGCAACAAATAAAAACTCCTTACAGATGTACAAGCAAATCTTTTTAAGTTATGTTAACTATTGACAAAGAATCTTTGCATAGCAGAGAATCTCCTGATCTCCTGCGGTAACCGCCTTCACTAGTAAAACGTCCTTCCTTTCCTTGGTAGATCTCTCTAGTAGGTGTTCCGCCCCAGGACTGCAGAACGTTGTGTCATAAAAATGGGCTCTTTCTAACCAGGTAAAAGGAACGATTTTTTACCCTCACTCTACTTTCTGTATAGAAGATTACTGACTATGAAAGAGAAGTAAAAGACTCGAAGCTGAGGAGAGGCTACTTCTGCTGTTTTATAAGTTTTGGACTAATCCTTTGATCTATCACTACCATCTATCAGGAGGAAACCACTGGGTGCAGAAATCATGACTGAACAAAGGGCTTCAGAGAACATACAACAAAACAGAGCAGAGGCAAAGAGCAAAAAAGCATAAGAGAAATAAATCTGCAGAATGGCAGCTTGGTTCCTGTGCTCTACAGTGCAAGTAAGGACCTTCCCACTGAGACAGCCAGTTTGGCTTTTAAAGATTCTTTATGAACACCAAAGTATGCCTGCCTGGAGTACAATTGCTTTTCACTAACTGTAGAACCAGCTGGATCTTTTCTTTTCCAGGCTTAATCCAAGTCTGTTGACTCTGCCAAGCATTAGTTAGATATTTAATTGCTAGTTAGCAACTTTGGCAAACTTTAGATCTAGTGCTTAAGACTGCAATTCCCTGTTGATTAACATTTTATGTACTGTTTATTCCTGTGCAGGATTGACTCCCTCATCTTATGACTTCTGAAATGGCAGAAGTAGAAACTTTTATTACTAACCAATTTTAATCTACATGAAACAGCTGAAGTAAGACACAAAGCAGCACATTGCACAAATAGTAAAAAGACATACTATAGGAGGGTTTCATTTTGTCAAGAAAAAATATCAATTCAATCAGTTTCTCACACAATTTTCTGGGAACAGTGTAAGGCTTGTGAAAGCTGGTGTGGTCTCCTCATACTTACTAGAAGATATCTCAATGTTATGTGTTTATTGTTAATAGCTTAAGTGGAGACAACGTACTCATACACACTTCATCCTGTAAACTATACTGATTGAAAGGCTGAAATGTAAAACCTTCATGCCTTCTCTTAAATTTCAACACCAGCAAAGTGAGTTAAGCACTATAACTACATGTAGTAATTAAAGTAAGTAAGCATTTTTAGCCTGCCTCTTCCTTCACAAGATTCCCAACCTATTATATCCTTCCTTAGTGAGGAAGAGACTTCAATTAGAATTCAGAACCAAGATTAGCAGCCATTCCCATTCAGATGTATATTAGTATCTCTCCAGACTGTGCAATTTGGTATGGCATTTCGGCCTGCTCAAAACTGGTGATGAACAGTCCAGGGATTCTAATTTGCTAAAGCCATTTTATCAGTGAAGAATGTCACACACATGTCGCACAGGACAAGTGAGCATTTAAAACATTATTAAAGTGTTAAAGATAAAATCAAATGTAGAAAAATTTTAAAAAATGCTACTGGGCTATTATTCCAAGGCCTTAAACACAGACACAATTCTCAGCTTGAGAACACGGTTCTTCGATTTACCTGAAATCAGAGCTCAATCAAACTAAGCATACACAGAAATAATTTTCTGAAGGTGTGCCAAAGGCTGTTCATACCAATTTGGTAGACCCAAAAAGTAAAATAAATAGCCATTTTTAGAAATTCACATTCAAAAACTGTCTCCACTATGCTCCGCTCCCTAATATATCTCATTTCTTCTTTCTCATACTCAAACTGGGTAGGAAACCAGTCTGTGTCTTTATAGTTATGCAGACCTGAACTTCCATGTCTAGCAGGAAAGAACAGCATGAAAACTTTTGTGGAAAAAAGGCTCTGCTGAAGGGGTGGTATGAACCTGCTGTGACTGAAGCAGTGTCTACTACTGCTCTATCCTTTGTGAAAGTCCAGCCCGTGCTCAAACCCAGAGATGACTCAGATATTTCCAAAGAACATGGGATGGGAAAAGTTGTATATAAATCACATAGTACTTAAAAAAACCCCAACAAAATCAAAGCAAAACAAAAAAACCAAAATAACAAACAAAAAACCCAAACAAACAAAAAAACCCCAACAACCTACCCCATACCCTACCTTTTTCTTTTTTTTTTTTTTCCCCTCTAATTGCAGACAAAGATGAGTTTGGATTTCAAGGTTAATAAATAATAATGTTTGGAGACTGGAGGTTTTCCTGCTGGTAGCCTATCATCCATCCTGTTATCAATGCACTGTCCTCCTTTTCTTGCTTGCAACAGTAAACAAATGATTTCTATCTCCTAACTCTGTTTACTTGTGCCTCTTGAGTTTTGCTAGTAACCAGCAGCAATGCAGATACATTTACTGAGGACCCTAACCACAGGGCAGCCAGCAAAGAACATTTTAGACTTCAAGCATTTTTAGCCTTTCTCTCTTCCTTCACAAGATTCCCAACGTATGAAAATTTGCTATGAAGAGCAGAATGGGCCCTGTTCCCAAAGATGTAGTCATTTTAAAGGACAGGGTATTTTGCTAACAGGAAAACATTAATTGTTCTTGGTAAGTAGTGACTTTCATGATGTAGTATTTAATTAACAAACCTAATTTATATATGCATAGTGAGCCATAATGGTGATGGTATGTTCCCAGAAGATTTTATTAGTAATTAAATTTTATAGCTTCCTAAGCATCTTTTTCCCTACGTTCACAGGAAAATATTGACAACTTTATTTCTTTTTTCGTTCCAGACTATGTTGATAAACAGGATGCTCTGCCACAAACTACAAAAAAGACAGAAAAATATTATGTTAATGCTTTTGGAACACATTACTTACGGTGGTGGCACAGTGGATGTCTTTCCATACATTGGCTTCCCTGGAGAGATCTGAGACTTCAAAAAGGTTATCAAGAATAACTTCCCCAATCATGTCATGTCTAGAAAATCTGTCAAAATCATAAACACTGAAATGCAATTTCCTGTTGCTGAGTTGATCATAGGCTACAGGAAACTGAAAGGTTTCATCAAAGACAGGATTTAATGTCTTTCTGTGAACTCGTGTCTGAAACTTCTTTTTCCTATCTGGGAGCAGATAAATCTTAACGTAGGGGTCAGATGTTCCTGTGAAGTCTTTAGCAGGCAGATCTAAGGCTTTGACAATTGTGACAGCCAGAAGTTCATTCTCATAATCATACCGGAGAGTGAAGTTAAGTTTTCCACATGTTTTCACATCTTGTTGCCCATCAGAATCCACAGACTTCTGTTTGTAGAGTTCGGGTTTTATTCTCCCAATGCTGGTTGTCGTCTCTCCCCTTTGCAAAATCGGGTCTGTCCCCATGTTAAAATCAACACTGGACACTTGCATCTGCCTTGGCAAGTGCCTCCTGAAAGAATTGTGCCTGCACACATACACACACACACACACAGAATGGGCCATGGTTATCTCTGGGAAAAGACTTGGCTATTACTAAGTAGAAAATACAAGAACAAAATAGCAAATGTTCCTCTCTTTAGAATAATTTTAAAATACTTTCCCTTCTCTCCCATTCCCCCCAGATACTCCTGATGTTAAAATGTCCTTCAGAATAATCACTCAGAATGAACTTCTTGGTCTGAGAGACATCCAGTGTCCTCATAATTCATATGCTTATAACCTTATTTTGAGGCTATGCAGCTGAAACTTAATTCAGGTTCTTTCACAGAGCAAGCTGACAGTTCCAACATTGCTTGATCCCACTGTGCTAGGGCCTGAGTAAAGCAGTCAGGCATAAAAAAAATTACTTTCAGAATTGTATTTCCTGGTTTCTGGAGGCATTCCATGGTGGTTTTCTAATTAAATATTTACCATACTTCACACTGATCACTGAAAGGCACCTGAGAAGGCCATGCAGAACTATGTCTGGGGGTTTTCAGCAGAGTTCTTTGCCATCCTACGACATTTTATATACTTGGAATATTTTGTTCTCGCTTCAATACATTTCAAAGTTCTGGTCAACACATTTTTCTGTGATATCTTTTTTCCATCTGTTCTCACACTCTGCTGTGTGGTGTATTAGAAAGCTGATTCCTATACTCCTAGCAAGAATCAGTATGTTTAAATCCTTGTGATTCTGAATTCAGTGTTGCATAAGCATATGTATTTATCTTGACTCATGAACCTCAACGGAAATGTGTGCCTTTCCTAAGAGTGAAATCAAACCCCTGGCATGCAATACAGCCTTACAGTAGTATGACAACACTGGTCAAAAAGCTTTGTAGAATTAATCATCAGCAGATGGATTATGACCACACTGTCCGGTTTATTTTTTGGACATTTTCACACTTCTTTGGTACTTCATTACCCCAACAGTCTGTACTGAAAAAGATCACTACCTCCTCCAGTGAGCATGCTTAGTCGCCATTAAAAAACAATTTAATTGTCAGACTTTCCTGTGCTTTTTGAAATCAATTGCTTATTAATGCCAAATGCAGCCTTGCCTTATTGCTTGGTTTCCCTGTGGTGCTGTGTTCTGAAAACAAGAGGTGTCACAGCTGTGTGTTTCCTTCTTTAAATCAGAAATGCAAATTGTCCATTTGAAAACAACCAGGACTGATTTCATAGATATTATTTGTATTTTTGCTTAAGTGAAGTGGTTGCAGAAGGCATGAAGCACAAAACTACCACAGTTCAGCTGAGCAGAGATACAAGAGGGTAATCTGCAGCCATTAAATAAGAGACAAGAATATTTCCCCTTTCAGCTGTTAAAGTACTGCTTGGTGCAGGGAGCAGTCCTAGCATAATACAAGAATAGAGGAGGGAGAATACTACAGTATAGATTTAAAGAAGCTCAAAAAAATCCAGCTGTTCTAATCTCAAACACTTGTAACACCTAACATTCTACCTTTTATTTACAGACAGACAAGTTGAAAGATTTTCAAATGTTAAAACTCCCTGAATTCATAGTATATGATGGAATGGAGTGAGGAGTGGAAAATTCCTTACTCAGAAAAGTACAATATTGTCCTCAGGGAGTTACAGGGCTGTCCTTGTGCCCTTATTGTCTAAAAAGCCCAGCCTCATATGTGTGTGAAACACAGGGAAAGGACTGAACTCCACCCAGAATGTAGTAGCAATGAATATTTGGGCACGCAGCAACTTTGGCATTAGCTCTCTAGTATCTTTGACTCATAATGAATTTCAGGGGGACCTGTGTTCCAGTATCTGAAGGGGGCCTACAGGGATGCTGAGGATGGACTCTTCATTAGGGACTGTAGTGATAGGACAAGGGGTAATGGGTTAAAACTTAAACAGGGGAAGTTTAGACTGGATATAAGGAGGAAATTCTTCCCTGTTAGGGTAGTGAGGCACTGGAATGGGTTGTCCAGGGAGGTTGTGAATGCTTCATCCCTGGCAGTGTTCAAGGCTAGGTTGGACGAGGCCTTGGGTAATATGGTTTAGAGCGAGGTGTCCCTGCTCATGGCAGGGGGGTTGGAACTTGATAATCTTAAGATCCTTTCCAACCCTAACTATTCTATGATTCTATGATTCTACTTCTATCTGTGCTAATGAAACCTGTGCAGGCAGGCCTTCCTGAGTACTCCTCACACCTGCAGCTTTAGTACTGATATAACCAGATAACCATGTTCAAACTCTGCCATAGACAAGCAGTGGAGAAAACTGTGTATGCAGGGAAAACAGTGAAGCTGACTGTATGGCACTTCCAGTTTGAGTGAAAACAGATAATTGACAAAATCTCTTTTGCTCAATGTCTCTTAAATTTATAAAGATCTGGGTTAATGCTTGTAAATGTAACATATAAAACCCAGATCCGTGATTTGTAAGGCACAAACCTTCTTTCAAATTTTCAAACTTCATGCACGTAAGATCTTTCAGTGAATGTAGTCATCGTTCCAAGATGACACTGAGTAAAACAGTGCAGCTATATGACTGTTCCCTGAGGAAAACAGCAGCACTTTTGCTCTAGCAAGGCAAAGTCCTAATTACACAGCACCTAGTATCTGTTCTGAGTCACAGCATTTCACCAAGATAGCTAATTGGTCTCTTAATTATTAAGATGTTCCATTGTTGTCATGGCAACATATTTATCTTCCTTTGTTCTGCAATAACAAAGGAATTAATGACTGTGATAATGAAGTACAAGGATGTCAGGCAACCAGATTGTGAAAATGCTTTGAAGCTACTAAAGTGTGCAAAGCAGGTACTTTAACCTCTACTGGTTCTTAAAGATAATACTCCTGTAATAGACATACCTTCCATAACTTAGAGCAAATACATTTTGAGTGGCAGTAAATCTGTATTTACATCTCTAATATAATATTGTGGAATACTGGTAGTATGAAGCTGATTTCTAACTCAGTAAGACTGCCATATGTACGATAAAAGAGAAGGATAAGATGATAATTTATGATATGATGCCCTGGGTTCAACAGTAGCAGGAACCCAGCTGAATGTCAGCTGAACCCAGGACATATGACTTGAGATTTATGAGGTGTGGCTCTAATCTAGCTTTCCTAGATGACATTAGACCAACCTTTTGGACTAAAACCAGGAATGGACATCAGCACTTGCAGTATTTGAACAGAACAGAGGCTGCTGTCTCCTTGCAGTCACTAAAGTCAACAGACCTGCTTGTTTTTCTTTACCTTAGCATCTCCAAGAACCTCACTTTTGCTTTTGTGCCTTTGGGAACTGACTTACTTGACAAGCTCGTCTCCCACCTAATGCTAAAGAGCAAAAAGCATGCCATTTGAAAATACAGGCAATAATTTGAAGAAAGGAACATTATAACAGTCTGCTTACCTACAGATTTACCTGTTGGTACATGATAGATAAAACTCTTCCAACTAATTTCCTATTAGGTACCAGTGAGTTGTGTAATGCTCTTGTCATGCCAAGCTCTATCAGTTTTGGTCTCTCACTGTTTGGTGTAACAGTTAAAATTTCAAAGTTGTCCTCCCAGTGTTTTGGAAATATTCCTCATAATGCCTTAGATACTCTGCTCTCTCCCTTAGCAGATGGATACAGTAGCTGGAGCCAGGCATAGCCGGGGCAATGTGGCTTAAAGCCAGCTGTACGGTCTCATAATTCAGGAGATGGTTCAGCTGCGGAAGTTAGTTAGACCTCCCCTGGCTGGAGTGCTTTTGTTTTTGGGAGCCTCCTGTGGTTGTCTGTTGGCTGTTCCACGTTGTTGGAATAGCTGGGAAAAGCACTTCAGCACTCACCACCACAATGAGCACAGTGAGCTGGCAAAATGATGTCGTAGGGACTCACAGAAGGCCAGCAAAATATGCGCCTGATAAATGTAAAGCACATCTTCTCCAGTCTTGTGCCTCCAACAATTATTGTGAATGTAAGCCTTTTGCTGTTTGTTTTCCTTTGGTAGCATATGTTCATTTATCAGATGGTTTATTGAGGGAAAGGTGCTTCCTATACAATGTTTGTATTCTAACTTATGGCATTGTGCAATACTTCAGGTTTCCTTTAGCCTTTATTTTCCCTCCCTTTGTTTATAAAACATCTGGGTTTTTTTGTTTATGTAGAAAGTGATCTTTGCAGTTCACTGTTTGTTTTGAATGCATTAAATTTGCTGACAGTATTTGAAGAAAATACCATTTGAAACTATAGGTCACTGCACGTCTTCAATACTTTTCAGTATAGAGCAGTACCTAAGACAAAATAAAACTTTCTGTACTCCACTTCAATACAAAAGAAATCACTTCAGGAACATTACATGCTTGTCATTTATTTAAATATCTATATAGAAACTGTACTGCTCTAAGATCAGTCCATAAGCATCTACATTCTTAGATTGGGATTTTAATTCCCTTAAAAGTGGCAAACTATGCATTAAAGAAACATGTCATCAACAATAGTCTCGTCATTTATTTAGTGGAGAGGGAAACCTTCATTTGCAAAAGCAACTGCTG